CATTGTGTATGTATTGTTTAAAAGTAGGGACCGAAAAAATCATATCTAGCATTTTTGCTGCCTTCAAAAATAATTACACAAATGTCACTAAAAATTCATCTGCAGGGTGTCGCATAGGAGAACACCTCTCATATCTTTTATTTTTGGAAAAATCTCTGCTAACAATAACATCTTTATATTTTTTGTCACAAGCGCATCAGTGTGGGGAAATTGACCAATGTGTTTCAACAAATCTTCTATTTCTCTGGTCATAACATCCGAATAACCATTAAGTTTAATATTATTTTTAACTAATCCAAGCAAGTTTTCGGCATAAAATTCACCACGTATAGTAAGGGCTGCTATCATATGGTCGCCAAATAGGTTTTATATAGTTTTCAATGTACGTTTATAGTGTCACTAGTCTGTCGCTAACAGGTAAGTTTTGCGTAACTGTGATTAAAGTTGGATAAAATGTAAAGTAAGGCGTGTAATATTTGGTTGAGACTTTTTTAGACTTGATTTCTTAACTTTATTCTATTTTTTTTTTCTTTGTGTTATACATTTTTCATGATACATTATTTAAATATTAAAGAAGTTTTAGACTCAAAAGGAAATACTAAGAAAACAAAGGACAAATGTTATTATTAAAATTTGCGAGAAAAATAGCTAGGGAAGATTGCAAACTTGATTACTTCTTGCATTTCCGTCAGTCACGTGACTACAGTCGGGTCCTGACCTACCCCTCTTACATTAGTTTGATTTTTGTATTTGCTTTGTAACCAATAACAAAAACAATCCCTTTTTGAAATATTTGCGAATCGCATCAGTTAACTGGACTGGTTTAACCGGAGCATTATTAAGAATGCGTATAATTTTAATCTATAGTGAAAAGTTTTATCTTGAAAATATAAACATATTGAATTATTTGGTGAAATTATAATTTATTAATTACACTTGAACTATTATTAATTATAAAATTTGTATAAATATATTCTTATAGCATATTTAAGAAAAATAATCAATAAATTTTTAAAAACTATAGTCAGGACAAGTTTAATTATGCATACAAACAGACGGTCTCACGTGCATCCTACACTTGCGCGACTACAAGAATTTCCAAAAATATCTACCCACAAATGACTAAATTTGGAAAGAAGGGCCAGAGAAATTAAAAGAATTGTTACTAAAACCCCACAAAAAGCAAACCAAATATGAAGCTTTCCTCCATAAGTTCTCTTTAAGTCCTTTTCTTTTGCGCAATGGCTTACAAGTGCTAAAATACTGTTAAATGACCATATGGTGCAGAATATTGTGACAAATTTACTACGACAACCATATCCGATTGGGCGCGAAAAGTAAGCCAGTAATAATGTAATCCAAGGATAAAATATTGCTATAAAAGCAGTTAGAAGAACGACGAAACGTTTCTGGATTCTATAATTTTCATTTTTACGAACCTCAACAGAAAGATCTCCAAATATTTCATTAGGTTCTCTAACAACCATGTATTTTGAAGAAATTCTTCTGTAGACTGCCAGAAATGTCCAGGAAAATAATGATGGTATATATGGCCAATCTAGACAGTTAACTGATCCCACCGCCTTAGAAATTGATGCTAAAACACCAACTAAAATGAAGTATCCTGATATCCATGCCGAACCTTTTTCCAGTACAGATATCCTTGCCGTACTTTGTTCTATGCATTTTGTTATATCTGGATCTTTTGCATTTTGAATTTTGCAAGCATAAAATCCAAAAGGTCTATATTGTAGTTCGCCACCTTGTGGTTCGGCTTCTTTTTTATTTTCTGGTTGTTCGACTTCTTTTCCAGAAACTTGTTCGGTTTTTTCATCAGTAACTCCTTCTTTAATATCTTGTGGCACAGCTTTTTCTTCAGAATCTTGTGCTTCTTTTCCATTTTCTTGTCGTTCGCCACCTTTATTAGTTGCTTCAGATTCGACAAGAAAAAATTTTCTTGATGAAAGCCAGTACAAACACCGATATTCTTCTTCACTTCCTATGTTGATAGAGTAAAACAACGCCGTAAATGGACATCCAAGACATCGAAGTAACCATGTCAATTTTTCTGAAAGCTTATCTGCCGGGGATTCTCCCATTATTCCTAAAGCTAGTACGCAACCTAGTGC